CAAACGTGGGACTTCCGCTGGATAGGGCTCATGAGGAGTTCCAGTTGAGTTTTGCCATGAGGTCGTCTCACCCATGGGAGAGGCACCAGGAAGCTTCCTGGGAGTTATATGATGGGTCCTTGAACGGAATCCTGGTGTGGATGTTCTTGGATTTGTGCCCAGTGGTTTGGTGATTTTGTATGTTATGCATTTTACATGATGTTATTGTTGCACATTGAGTGAGCCATGGGGTGGAGTGATCCTCTAGTACCCTTGGTTTACTGAGATGTATTTGTATATCTCACCCCGCGTTTGGGGACATCATTTCAGGCTATAGTGAGCATGGAGGAGCTTCGGGCAAGAGGCCCGCTTAGTGGGGGAGTCGAGCATTATGTGCATTTGGAGAGTATGGCATTTTGGAGGACTATATTAGATGCACATAGCATAGTGTTTAGTATTTTGGACTTAGGTTATGAACATATTGCATGTTCATATTGCCATGCTTCTGAGTGTTCATAACTATATGCTAAGTCTTTGTAATTCATGTATATTTTATGCCTTTGATTATATTGGTATTTTGGTGAGCATGAGACTTGTCCATGGCCACATATGTTGTATTTTGAGGCATTGGAAGACTTGTGATGTAAATTGGCCATTTGAGGTTTAACATGGCAATGGAATTGTGAAGTATTGTAAATGATGCATTGATTAATGAATATGCATGATGGAAGGGCCTAGAGCCTACATTAGATCTTGTGTAAGTTGTATTTTGGGTAGTGAAGTGTTAAGAGTGGATTACATCACCCATTTTGTGATTGAAATGTTGTCATCTGTCATTTTTACAGTAGGGTAATTGATTACCTTTCTTTGGTAATCGATTACCTGAAACAGGGGACGCAAAATTGAGCCACTGTGTTATAAGTAATCCATTACTTTTCCTCATTAATCAATTACCTAGTTCAGTAATCGATTACCAAAATAATGGTAATCGATTACCTGAAACAAGGGAGCCCAAAATTGGCTATTATCTCATTCTCGAGCCTTTGGTAATCGATTACCCAAAAATGGTAATCGATTACCATTGTGTAAAATTTTGAAAATGTGTTTTCTGAAATCTAAAATAAATGGTATTGTTTGGAGAGATGATAACTAGTATGTTTTATACTTCCGCGAGTTTTGCATTTGCAATTACGGCATTGTTTTAATTTGTTACGGAAATGGTTAATGCTTAAAGTTAAGGATTTAATAAAAGAAAAAGTTTACTCGTAATTTAATTAACTCAAGTACTGTGATTGTAATTGCGCTTAATACCATATGCAATGATAACATTACGAGTACGTAACGGGCTGTTACAGCAGACTTATCATCAGACTTATCAATTGACTATTTTTCTCCCAGCATAACTCTCCGTCTACTAGCTTCTCTACGAACTTCAGCAAAGGCATCAGCAAGTGAGGGTAACGGTCGTTGCGCCAATATTCAACCATGAACCTCATCAAGATCTCAGTTGAGGCCGGCAAGGAAATCATAAAGTCATTCCTTCTCCAAGTGTTTTTTAAACTGGGTATTAGCTTCCAATCCTTTAAGATCGGATGCAAGATAAAGATCCAATTCCTGCCATAAATTTGTTAGTGCAGTAAAATATTCAGTAATAGTCATACCCCATTGACGAAAGTCTCTCAACTTATTTCTCAATTCAAAGACTTGAGAGGTATTCTCCATATCTGAATAATTTTGTTGAACAGCATCCCAAATCTCCTTGGCAGTATCGAAGAACAAATGGGTTTGGCCAATCTGTGGTTTCATGGAATTAGTCAGCCATGCCATTACCAAGGAATTATTAATCTCCCAATTTTCATAATCAGGAGAATCCTCAGCAGGTTTCTTAATTTTTCCCTCGAGATAACCCATCTTACCTTTTGCCCGGATCACCAACTTAACAGATTGAAACCATTACAGAAAATTCTTATCGTTCAACCGGTGACTAGTAATCTGCATACTTAAGTTGTCTCCAGAGGACTGAGTATTGGGAACAGATGAGGAAGCAGAAGAATGCTATAAGGAAGACATGAATGAAGAGAAAGGATTTGACCGTGAATGAAAAAATCAAGATTGTGTTTTTTCATATCTGACCTCTGGAACAGGAAGGGGAGACGCTAGCGAGTTGTTCTGTGCAAGTCACGGCAGAAAAAGCTGCCAGGAAGGTGGCGCGTGGAGCTCACTGTCCGAAAGTTGGCTGCGCGTGTGGCGGAGCGTGTAGGAGCGTGTGGCGACTGACGGTGATGGGTCCGGTGGTGTTCAACTCGTCGAAGCCTTCTGAGTCGAATGGTCACTCCACTTTCTTGATTGGAGGTCTGTAGATAGGGTATCTGGGTTTGGACAGAAGTGGGAAGGTGTTTTGGAAGGTGTTTCAGCCTTGAAGATGGCTGATCTAAGGTAGGAATGAACCCGTTCTTGATACCATAATGAAAAATAAAAGGAATTTGTTTTTCCGTATATTGATTTATGAATAAATTACGTAAGGAGTATTTATACAAGAAAGAATAGCTAAGAATGACTCAGCGATGATTAATCAATCCTATCAATGAGTCATCAATCCTATCTACTAATTAATAGGAAATAAAAATGAAAATATTTGAATCCTGATTTCCTACAACTTTCTTATGGCATTTGGCTAGATAATGGTATAATGTATGCCCCAGATCCAGAACTTAGAAAAGTAGCCTTTTCTGTGCTAAAAGGAGTGAGTTTCTAATACTAGATAATGCCTTTTAAAGTTGAAAGTTTTTAATAGTTTGTATGTAATATGAAAGGTGAATTTTTTGAAATTGAGATATATGATGTTTGTTAAACACCTTAGGGTCTGTTTGGGTAACGTATAAGACCTGATAGTATAAGCTTATACTATACATTAATGTATTTTCAGTTGTTTGGTGTAATTATTGTATAGTATAACCTTATACATCATGATCCCTTAATACATCAAAATGATGTATAATTTTATCAGGTCTAGAGGGAGGGATTAGACCTGATAAGAGAATGGTGTATTAGATTTATTCCAAACCCATTTCTCTCTTCCCCTTCTAACCCTCTTTCTTCTTCACTTTTGTGCTTGTGTGCCCAGCAACTTCGACGCTTGCCGCCGTAGCTCTCTCTGGTCGTCGTCTCTGTCTTTGTCTCCGTCGTCGTCGCCATCTGTTCAAGTTCCGGTGAGTTTTTGTTTCTTTAAATGACGTGCATCCTTTCTCTTTTCTGATTGCGTTGTCAAAAAAAAAAAAAAAAATGTTGGTTGATATCTTGATATCATTTTTATATTCGTTTTCAGTTACCAATAATTTTCTGGTCTGGTTTTCTTTAATAAATTGCTTTACCTTAAACTGAAGCCATTGAAGAATATAGAACTATGAACACTCAAGACTTTTTCTTTGGTTTTGTTTGTTCTTTGACTTTCATTGGTCCACCCTTTTTTATTTTTTATTTTTATATTTTCAAATTAATGCTTTTAGTGGGCTCCCAGCAACCAAGAGCAGAGGTTTTAATTGAAGCTCTATATCAAGCTCAAATTTTGAAACATTATAGGGTTTTAATAGTTGAATTAAGACCAACCTCATTGTCATCTTCTTTTCACATATGTTCTTTCAATTGAAGTTATCTCTTTATTGGGCAATAAGTTCTATATAGTACTGTACTCCTTATTCAATGGAAAGAATTCATTTTCCATGTAGTTTCTTTTATCACATTTTTTCTATCTAGTGTTGTACTATAATCTCCATTGTGTTTGGACAACTTAAGTAAATTACTTTTTCACAAATTTATTTTTTGAGTGATACAACCCTTTTTCTAATGAATGATTAACGGCTATCAAAAAAAAAAATGAATGATTAACAAATACTTGGATGTTTGAAGACATTAAATTGTAACATAATTAATCTGTCCGACAAGTTTACCCATTAAATTCAGTGTCATCAACTTAAATTGGTAAATAAGTTATCGAGTTTAGCATAGTTTGTTTAATCAATACGGTAGGGAATATAAAAATCTTTTCTATCAAATTATAAAAATATTGTTTGATAGATTTTTATAAAAATTAATATCATATGATATATTTGGAAGAATTATATAAATTTTTTATTAAAGGGTATTGTTGTTAAAAATATTTATTTTTATCCTATATAGTTTTATACAGTGCATTACGAAATACTGGATGGTATTATCTTATACAATACATTATCTTATACAATGTCATACCAAACGCTGAAAAGTAATAACACTTAATCATGTCTTATACTATCAAATTTTATACTATCAGATTTTATATCATACAGTGCACCAAAGAGGCTCTTAATGTCTTCGGCGTATTTTTCTTGAGGTTATTAACGGTACTGTGCTCATGTTACTTGAACTAGGTACTCGTTGATATTCCAATTTCTCAAAGGTTAGACATTTTCAAAGCTTTGATTACAAATACTGACTCTTCCTCTATGGTAATCCTCTTAATTAGAGGTTGTTTAACTTTGGTCTTTATTTAACAGTCAAAACTTAAATCATGGCAAAAAAAATTAATAGATTGTATTTTAAATAAAAAATTATGAATTTATTACAATTTTGAAAATAATTATGCATTTATTGCACAATGTCACGCCTGGATTGGGCGTCACCAATCACGCCTAAATTAGGCGTCACTCATGTGGTGTTAACACGTGTCACAAAAAATTAACATTTTAATCATAAAAATTCTAAAAGCCATAACTTTTGACTCAAGTATCTAAATCAAGTAAAAAAAAAATTGATTCCACATGACTTTTTGAGATCTAGACAATGACACCTCATTTGATATATTCTATCTCTCATAAACACAATTCAAATTTGCAACAAAGGTATTATAAGAGGCTAGGGCTAATGAACCGGATAAGCAAGATTTGGAATCCTGTCAGAAAAGGAAAATTGATAAAAAAAACTTAAATTTGCGCGAGTAAAATTTAGAGGACACCAAGACTCAGGTACTATATTTAATTTCAACCTGTCTCCTTCAAATTTATTTATCAAACGTGGTTTTACAAATTTCTACTGAGTCCTGACTAGTAAAATGTACAAATTCCTCCTTGCCACACCTATTTTACAAACGTGGTTTGCTTCAAGAATTGTTGTGTTGTCCCAATTTGACCCAAAACAATAAACATATCATTGTAAACGTAAAATATTTGCCAAGGTATCATCCTTATCTTCCAGACATCAGATTCACAAGATTTTGATTTTCGTAGAAGGAGCCAACATCCCAATCATCAGTCGTTGAAGAAAGTGTCATAAGAGCAACCACAATTGATCTCATACTTGGACGTAGTTGGGGATTGTCCTGTGTACATGCGTGGGCTAGTTGAGCCATCTGCAAGGTCCAAAACAGTGACCATAGATTAACTAATTTTAAAATCAAAGAAAAAAACTTAACAAAAAACCATTCTCTGATAAATCCGACTAGCGAGTGTGAGATAGAGGTAATCCTTATACACAGTCTTACCCTTGCATAATTACAAAGAGGCTGTTTTCTGGGTTCGAACCCATAACCTTTCGGTCATGAAAAAAACTTTAACAAATGTTAATAAATTATTAATTCCGAATAAATTCACAAAAATCCACAATTAAGATTGAATGTATGATTTATTATTCTTGCATCGTAATAAGTTGATCTTGCCCCAAAAATAAAAAAAAAAATAAAGAAATGACTGAAAGGTCATGGGTTCGAATCCAGGAAACAGCCTCTTTGCAATTATGCAAGGGTAAAGCTGCGTACAAGGATTGCCTCCACCCCACAATCGCTAATCGGGTTAAACGGGAAGTGGATCATTTGATCATCATTTGTTCTCACCTTGCGAACTGAATCAATAGGGTAGTTATCCCCAAGCCTTGGATCCACTAGTTTGCAAAGATCTTCTGTAGGATCAGGCTGACTAAGAACTCCTTCGAACTGAATGACGTAATAAAATATGAAAAGAAATTAATACCATAAATTAGATTGATTAAGAAGCATCATGATGGTTGATTTATAAAAATATTATCTATGAATAGAATAATAAAAATTCTTGAGTAGAGAAATCAAGATTGACCAAAGCTACGAGGCCCTTTGAGTCAGCAACTGATTCGCTTGTCTTGACAATAGCTTCCTTAGCCGAAATAAGCTCATAAAGAACAACTCCAAAAGCATACACATCTACTTTGGGAGACACATCTCCATATTGAGCATACCTTCACACAAAACCATGGTAATCACTAACCAAATCCAAATGCACACAATTGTCACTTAACTAAATTCCGATGAATTCCAATGCAAGCAAATCTTGGATATACAATTATTCAAAAGAAAATAAATACACAAAACTAGGAGCACTTGCTAGAACCTAAAACTAAATGCCCTTAAGGAACAGTTCAAAAGACTTGGTCAGTCACTACAAGATATGCACCCAAAGTCAACTTCATGGTTTTAGTTTTATTTTTATTCTACTTAAGAAGAGGGTCTTCTTGGACATGTTAAGCGCTTGTTTGTGTCTTAACAAGCATTCATTAATTTCAAGAACTGACATGTGAACTTGGAAAGTACATTTGGTTAAATGCTCCGTGTGAATAGAAACACTCTTATATTAGAAGAACATTAGTTATCATACTCTGGTGGCATGTATCCAAATGTTCCAACAAGACGACCAGTGGGAAGGGATGAGCTTCCAACTTCTGTCAGTTTTGTCAATCCAAAATCAGCAACCTTCAAATATGAATATTTTATGAGATTTCACAGTAATCCGAATAATAAAAATAAAGATAAGATCTCAAAACATATTCTACCTTTCCCCGGAAGTTTTTGTCTATTAATATATTTGCTGTCTTTATGTCACGATGAATGTATACAGGCACTGTATGCTCATGAATATATTCAAGACCTCTGGCGGAATCCAAAGCAATCTGCACTCGGGTAGCCCATGGCAGTGGATCTCTTTTACCTGGAAACATTATTTATCACTTCACCATTAACTCAGGCAATCACAATACATCATTAAGTAAATAACCATTACATTATGAGCTGATCTAACCTGAATCACGCAGATGTTCACTTAAGTTTCCATTCTCCATGAATTCATAGACAAGGAAAAGAGAGCCCTCGATACTATATCCGATCAACCGCACCTGTACGGTCATTAAGAGTTTAAGAGAGACACAACATAAGATGTAAGAATTTACATAGATATGAAACATGAAGCCTGTTTAGTGTCTTTATATGCATCACATATGTATAACCTACAAGAGGTAAAACCAGGTATGTGACAGTTCTCCCAGCAATATATGCCAGAAGCTGGTAGCTTAAAAAGTTACACTGTAAATAAAGAAAACTTTTGAGCATTGTATATTCACTATATTGGTCACAACATCTTATGTGTACAAAGCTTTAAGAAAAATTTTAGATTCGAATACCAATCCATTGACACCACCATATAAACAAAATATAAGGCACCCTTCTGTTTTTGTCTAAAACAACACCATATAAACAAAATATAAGGCACCCTTCTGTTTTTGTCTAAAACATGCTTCAAGGACAAAGTGGGAGACAGAATGAGATGGACGGGCTGTGGCTTGATTATCTGGTAAATTTCAGCAATATTGTTAAATGACATGCTAAAGCCTTTCTCCTTGTGTATTATGCATGTTAAAGTAAAACAGACATCATTTCATGTGATAGAGCTAGTTGAATTCTTAATCCGTGCAAGTAGTTCAGCCAGATAATAGCGGTCAGTTTCAGCCATTAAAAGAATCTAGAGAAATGCATTGAATTCAACAACAATCTAGTTATAAGCATTAGCTGATATTCATGACTCTTTATGCTATTCAAGTCTGGGACAGACACCTATAAAGGACTTTTTCATCTAATGGGAGCATGCAAAGAGTTTGAATACATCAAATAAAATTTATTAAAAGAAATATGGATACTACAGGTAATCAAGAGATGCCCCTACAAATAAAATATTTGCAAGAGCAGAGGAAAGTTTAAAAAGCAAGGAAACAACGAGGGAGAAGAAAAAACAGAGAAGCAAAGGCAACATAGTCTGTATTCTCAATAGAATTATTGTTAACTTTATCAAGCACATAAAATCTCCGTACATAGTTATCATGACAAAGAATATTAAAAGAGGAAAAAAAATATTAAGGCTAAGGAATAAATTTTAAAATTAAAACCAATTTGAACAGACATGGGAGTCTAATTTATAGATGGATGCAATAACAAAGAAACATTAGATAACTGAAAGCATTCACCACTAACCATCCTCAGTTAGTCATCAGTATCTAATAAATTCCTGATGCTACTCTAATCACAAGATTACTAAAGTGAAACCCCAAGGCTATGCTCAAGCTAATGCTAGATCCCATCATTGAAATTACTAAAAGCCCTTTTAGAATAAATCTCCACCTTCATGGTAGTGGTACGCAATTTAATAGGAACACAATACTAATATCTATAAAAGCTTTAAATTTTAAAGGTTTAGTACCAGGTTAAGATGGTGAACACGTGTCAGGACTTTCAATTCAGCAAGAAATTCTTTTGATGCTTGCATATCCATCTTCTTGATTGCAGCTTTCTGCAGAGGCGAAATTATTGGTCTATATAATGAGAATATGGATACTGAAAAGAACAAGATGGAATGGCTCTAGAACAAACACACTCCTATTCATCATTACAGCATTATCAAGAATTATGTGAAGTGACAATAAAGGTTTGTTCAACAACTGAAGTGCATTCTGCTGTAATTAAAAGCACTGGAAATACATAGTAAATATTATGAAATAATCTCAACTTTTAAGCAAGCACAGATAATCTTTCTTAGTAAAACAGAGAAAAGAAAAGGATAACTATGGATCAAACTGTTTCTATATTGCCTTTCATTTCCTCACGTTCATTTTGGTTGTTCAAGTCCATACATCATTGTAAAACCATTTTGAAGCAGCTCTCAATCCTTTCTTTCAAGCATTTTCTAGCTTGGATTCCACAATAATGCATCTCAAACATAACCATATAATGATGTCAACATATTGACGTTTAGAAGGATGACATTCTTTTAGGTCATTCATCTTCAGTCCCAATACAGCAAGAAAATATTATTGATCCCAATTTTGATTATCATGAATTTATCAAGGTTTGAAGCCTCTTCTTTTAATTTTTTTTTTAGACTGCATAATAGCTTTCTTATATATGATAGAGTGGCATATAGTATACATATAGTTAAACTATTCTTCTATTTCAACGCATCTTGATTCAACAGACAATTAGTCATATGCAAAACCTCCGACGAATCAACGACAATAAACTCCTTAAAAAAGTAATAGAGTGAAACTTTTGTTTAGAAATGCTTCTAATAATAGACAATGATAAATGTGATTACTAACCTCTCCCCTCAACTCTGCATAGTAGACAGTGCCAAAACCACCTTTACCAATTCTCTTAGCCATACTAAAGTTATCTGTGGCCGTTGCTAATTCATCTAATGAGAACTCCACTGATTTGTCCACTGTTACGCCTGTGATGGCAGAAGGACCACCAGGTCCTGAAGTTTCATTTGCAGCACCCTGAGAATTTTCGTCTGAAAAATGAAGCACCAAATAATGAAATTCAGTTTAACATTTTAGAATGTGTAAAATCTAGAGGCACTGAATGTTGGGCAGGGTTCTGACAAGAGAAAAAAAATAAGAGTACCAGAGATGAGATTGTTGTAGTGAATGATTGGAACAAGAAGACTAGGAACAAGTGTTGGGAGAAAGTCAGAGTGGAACCTCTTGAGAAGATGATATACACTCGCTAAACGTGGTTTTCATGTGAGGAGAAAATTGATCTAAATGGATTTTCTAAATGGATTAAAGAAAACTTGGCTCCAGTTATAAAAGTGGTAGAGGAGGATCAAAGAAAACTTTAGGTGAACCATTAAACAAGATTGACACAAATGGATTTTCTAAAAAATTGGCAATTGACAAAGCATAATTGCGTCATTTGATTCATGTAGCCGACTCCACCTAGTGGATAAGGCATTCATGTAGCCGACTCCACCTAGTGGATAAGGCTTGGTTGCTGTTGGTGGTGGTGTGCAAGAGCAAGAGGATCGCAGTATTTGTTTAGAAATTCAAAAGGAGACCATTTAGAACAAGAATAGCACACATCTTATTTATATGGATGAACAAAAGCTCATTAAATGGAATCAGAAACCTAGATTCTTTCATAGTCTATGACTTTTCTGTATGTCATAAAATCAACAACACTGATGCCTACAGAAATTTAAGAACAAGAATGTTCTATGTAAGTGATATTGGTGACAGCATCAAACAGTTAATTTTTTTCACTTGGATTTTAATTAGAATTGAGATATGTAACCTACAATTAAAAGGATGAATGATGTTATTCCAGTCAGATCTTATATGTAATAAGACTATACGAGAACTGTTAAATCCGGTATACTTATCAGCACTGTATTATTCACCCACATCATCAGGGCTTAGGTAGAGGGAAGGAGGTGATGGAAGAAATATAAGTAGAAATAACTATACCCTTCCCATCTTGAGCAAAGAGTGCTTTGGAATCTTGTGGAAGAAGATCCTCCTTCTGTATCTTCCTCTTCCGGAAATATCCGACATATATACCAACTACCAATAATAGAAGAACAACCACTACTCCAACAGCTATTCCAGCAATAGCACCACCACCAAGACCTGCTTATATGGAAGCAAAACATGAGCTCAAAGTAGCATTATGCTTCTACTTATAGAAAACGCTGACCATGTGTTTGATATGAATATCAATCTGAAGAAACAATCATCACAACCGATTTTCTAATAAGAAAGAAAGTCAAACCTCCTGAACTGCTGAAAAAGAAAAAAAGAAAAAAAGATAGTCAATGGCTTTAGCCAATTCATGGGAGACCAAAAAAAATGCAATGATATTAGCTGATTGAATCCAAAGTAGCGCAATAAAATTTACCTGGACCCCAAAAACACATAGCTACCATTTTGATCTGGAAAAAAAAAATGAAAGAAAGTAGTAAGACACATATATTGAAATTTGAAGTCCCTAGGAAAATGTTTAAAGACACAGCTCTACACATCCATATGCTTCTTTGAATCTTAACTACTCTGTAAGCAACATCGATCAGAAATAGTAACTATTTCAGTACTAGATAATTCATTCAAGTTTGTCAGACATAATCAAAGTTACAAACCTTAGTTAAATAGGAAGTTAGAAAACTTATGAGTTTATTTCAACTTCCAAGGATAAGTAAAACAAAAGAATAGCAACATCGCGGCTTGCTCGTAAACCCTTGGAGAATCATAATTAGGCACCATTTGCTCTAAGTTTAAACTCAAATCCTTCAACATTATTTAGTCACAATACGAGTAGAACATATAATTACATAATCAGGACATAATATAATAAACCATCCAAATTAGCAAACAGACAATTTCCACATTCAAATCCTTGAAAAAGCACAAACTTAAAACCAAACTAACAACACCCTTTAACATAAATCAAAAACTAATTCAATGACCAAGTATATAACACCATGAAATCATAGCAGAACATCAAAATCAACATCTATATCACCTTAATCCAAAACTAGTTAGGGTCTAACACTCGATGAACCCAAATAAAAAGTAAGAACAGATACATCATAACACGAAAACCATCATAGCAAAATCAGCAGAAGTGAGTACCTTTGCCCGGAATATAAACCAGGCCACTCCCTTGGTTGAAATTAACACCAGGATTGTACCTCTGCAACAACCCCGAGTCAAGATCCACAGAACTTGCCACAGTCCCCAAAGTCTCCCCAGGCCTAAGAGGGTATGTGATGAACAACCCATAATTTGAGACATCACTATCACCACAAGAACAGTTAATGGTAACATTAAGCGTTCCAGTGTCAGGAATGTTATTGGATGGATATCTATTGAACTTCATCAACCAATTAACATTGGTTAGGTTGGCATAATTGGTACCAGCAACTTTCTCATAAGTGTCCCCATTCTGAACATCATACTGAAACGTGTGACCAAGAAACTCACCATTAATACAATCACATGGGAATGGAGCGTTGACCCTTATGTCTGATTGAACACTGTCTTTGTTTGGTATTGTAGCTTTGCTGTAACTAACTATGTCATCAGGACTTGTAAGAACTTGGGATGCCAAAATCCCTGAAATATATGTGAGGTTTGTGCCTCTCAATATGTAGTAGGAGCCTAAAGCTAGTGGACAACCCTGTGTACACTTGGATTCTGCAATAAAAGGAACTGAACCCGAAAACAATAACAATTGCAGCAGAACAAGATACCCAAATCTGGGTTCCATTGAAATGAGGAAAATGGGTGATTCAAAAGGGACAGAAAGTTTGAAACTTTTTATCTGATCTGGGTTTTGTGTTTTGGGTTGTGCAGTTGAGTTGACCTGGTGAATGAAAATTTGATGATATGAAAAGATAGAGTTCTGAGTTGGCTTCAACTTTTTCGAAGACTATTATTATTCCTCGGTTTGAATTAGTCTGCAGCTTTTTTTTTCATTTGGGTTCAACAAGGGCTTATTATAATTATTAATTAAAAATAGGGAAAAAAAATTCATGTAGGAAAATAGTTATATATTATGTTGTAGAAATAAAATTATAAGCGAAATCCACGGGTAAAATAAGAGAAAAAAAAAATGGTGAGACCCCATCCTTTTTTGAATATGTACGAAAGTTGTTTATCTCATGTAAAATGAGATAAACATAACCCTTAAAACTAATATAAAGTTTGGGCACGATTTATCGTTTCAAGGATATAAAATTTTATTATTTTAAATATGAAAAAAATACATTATGAAAATTATTAGAAAAAAAATAAGAATTCTTTTAATTTAAATTTTAAGTAAAAAAATATTAATTTTAACTAAAATAAAATATTCCTCCTATGAACTTTATAATTGAGAGGCGTGTGTGTTTTGTTTTGTTACCTTTATCGCCAGACTTAGTAAGCTGAGTAGCTGACTCAACGGTTAATAGTAAATTCCCGCCGATCTTAGATTGTTACAATTTACAAGTGCTACGCAACTTACATACTGTTAGAAAGAAAAGGAGCATTATTCTTTAAATGTTATACAGGATCAAGGCTTTTTTAAGTGACTAATATTTTTTGAGTTTTATAAGAGTTATGTTGTAGGAAAAGTAATTGTGTAATGTTATAGAGATTTGTTTTGCATGTCGTAATTTTCTTTTTCTTTTTTTTCTTCAAAAAGTGTGAGTCCACAAAATATTGTGTGTAGGAAAGTTTATTGTGTCAAGTTAAATGACAAATGCAAACCCTATTTTTTTTTTTTCATTTAATTTCTCAAATCATCTCACTCGCTCGATGTTAGTAAAATTAGCCAAATCTGATTTATCAGACCGGTTGAGTGTTACGACTCACTCTAATGTTAGGCCCACGAGAATTGTCAAATGGCCCACTTACTTGGATGATTACTCTTGTTAGAGGATAGGCCCAATTATATGATCTGCAATTATAATGGGGGAGGTGCTAGTCTAGAGTATATATTAGTGGGTATGCTTCAGAGTAGTAATTCATGAAATGGTTAAAGGTTGTGAGTTGTATTAAAGCACCGCTAGTAATAAAAAGGGACATGCAATATTTAACAAATCTTCTCTCTTGTTTTCTCTCTTCCTTCTCTAACTTTCTTAGTCTCTTCCCTCTTATTAACTAGAAATAACTTAACAATCTGGTGCCTTTATGGAGGTGGTGGCGGTGATGGCATGGTAGCGGCTGCGGCGGCGATGGTGGTAATGGTGGCATGGTAGTGGTGGTGGTGACGGTAGTAGCTACGGCGATGGTGGTGGTGATGGTGGCGATGATGCTAGTGATAATAGTGGTGACGATGATGGTGGTGGTGGCGGTGACGTAGAGGTGGTGTGGTGGTAGTGACAGCAGTGGCCGCAGCGATGGTGGTGATAATGGTGGCGACAGTGGTGGTGGTGGTGACGGCAGTAGCTGTGACGATGGTAATGATGATGACATGGTGGCGGTGGCGGTGGCAGTGGTGTAGTGGTGGCGGTGGTGGTAATGATGGAGGTGGTGATGTCAGCAGTGTCTGCGACGATGGTGATGGAAAAGACATGGTGATGGCGGTGGTGTAGTGGTGGCAGTGGTGGTAGCGGCGGCGGCGATAGCGGTAGTAGTGGTGGTGATGGCTACGAAGATGGTGGTGGTGGTGGTTGGTGACAGTGGTAGTGATAATGGTGGTACGGTGATAGTAGTGGTGGTGGTGGTAAAGACGGTGGTGGTGACGTGGAGGTGGTGGTGGTGGTGGTACGACGATGGTAGCAATGGTCGTGTCGGGATGGTGGTGGCGGTGGTGATGATGGTAGTGGTGGAGAGTAATTGAGAGAGATAAGTATTTCTCATTTTGTTCCCAGGAACAAAAAAACAGAAATTTTTTTATTCTTTTTCTATTCCCCAGCACAAAAATAACTGGTTCATCTCAGGAACAAAAAAATAAACCGATTTTATCAAACGAGTTTTCTATCAATTTCTGTTCCCGGGAACAGAAATAAAAAAAAAAAAAAATTGATTCTGGGAAGGTTGTCATGCACACCCTATTTGTCCTGGAATTGAAAGGGGTCGACATTGTTTTAGGAGTACAGTTGTTTGCCACCTTAGGACCCATTCTTATGAACTATAAAGCCTTTACCATGACCTTTACTCATTACGAAGCCCAAGTCACATTACATGGGGACCCGCTGCTTCAATTCCACCACATTTCCCTTGCCCAGCTCCAAAAATTAGTTTCACAAGATTCCATTGCAGCTTGTTTGATGTGTTTTACTTCTGATTTCCCAGCCCCAACGGTCACATCTCAAACTAGCTACGCTGCCAATTCCCAGCGATTACTGGATGCCTTTTCAAATGTGTTTGTCGAGCCATCCGAATTACCCCCACACAGACACAACAATCACCAAATCACATTAGAACCTCATACCAAACCAGTACAAGTCCATCTCGATCAATACACCCACCTCATCCCCACTATCGACGAGTTACTCAATGAGCTACACGGAGCAACCATTTTCTCAAAGCTGGATTTGCATTCTGGTTATCACCAAATACGCAAGGCAACGGAGGAAATTCACAAAACAACTTTCTGAACCCACCATGGCCACTATGAGTTTGTGGTAATGTCATTTGGTCTATCCAATGCATCGTCCACTTTCCAATCCACAATGTATGAGGTGTTTTCATCCTTTCTGAGACGCTTTATGGTTATTTTTTATGATATTTTGGTGTATAGTATTGATTGCAGTATCATCTTAAGCATTTGATTGTTGTCCTAACCAATTTATGTCAGCACTGTCTTTATGCACAGTTGTCCAAATGCCTATTTTTCCAACAGTCTATTCAATTCTTAGGCCACCTTATCTCGGGCCAAGGGTCTCTCCAGACCTTCAAAAGATTAAAGCAATTGAAGAATGGCCACTCGCCGCTTCTGCCACTCAGATGCAGGCTTTTCTAAGGCTTTCGGGATACTATAGGCGCTTCATCAAGCACTATGCCCACATTGCCAGTCCACTTACAAATCTCCTCACCAAGGACGATTTTCTTTGTTCTGCAGAGGCAGCCTTAGCTTTCAACTCATAGAAGTCCATACGCACTACAACTTCGATTCTAGTTCTGCCTAATTTTGATACTCCCTTCACTATTGAGACAGATGCCTCAGGGGTGGGCATAGGGGCAGTTTTGCTCCAGAAAGAACACCATGTGGCCTTCTACAGCTGCAAACTATCCCCCACTATGTGCAGCAAATCAACATACATCAGAGAGATGTTTTCCATCACCTCTGCAATTGCAAAATAGAGACAGTACCTTCTAGGGGTACCCTTTACAATTTACACTGATCAAAAGAGTCTACACAACCTGATGAATTAGGTTCTACAAACTACGGAGCAGCATCAATTCCTATCCAAGCTCTTTGGCAAGTCCAACAAAGTGGTTGATGCCCTTTCCAGGCTTTCAGAGGGGATTCCACCCTAGTTTGCAACCTTTATCGTCCCAATTCATGACTACAAAGCAGTATTATAGACAAAATTAGCATAAGATCCCTTTGCTACAACTATTATACAAGGTCTACAATTCAACCCAATAGCATTTAAGCACTGGCATCTCAGAGATCACTTGCTCCTTCATTATCACTGAATCTTCATCCCAACAGCTTCCCAATTAATCCCTCAATTACTCCAGACTGCCACTAGTAACTCCAAGACTGCCACTGGTCATTGCAAGAGGGACATTCAGGCATTCAGGGCACACTCCTGCGTCTTAACTGAAATTTCACCTGAAAAATCATAAAAAAAGTATGTCACTTCTTTTGTTCAAAATTGTGCAATTTGCCAGAAAATTAAACCTCCTAATCACTACTCATTGGGATTGCTACAACCCATGTAACACCCCCAAATTTCTAACAATTTTTAAAATATTCTTATAATTAATAAATTGCCAAAATTCACAATAAATTATTATTTTTTAGGATATTATAAATATTGCGGAAGCTAATCTAAACTAATTTGGGGAAATGTTACCGCCGCACATGTACATAGAGGAGTATAAGGCTAACTTTATTACATTCATAACTATTAAGATAATACCAAAGACTATGTCTTATACATAAAATTTAGGACTAGCTAGAAATATCTGAGTCGTTAGTCTTACTGCTGACCGCTAGCCCCATCCTTTACAACCTATTTCACTGAAAATTTGCTCCCATGAAGGACCATTGCAGCGCATAAACACAAAGACAAACAATCAGCAAGAGCTGGTAATCCCAATCCAAAACAAAACGAAGATAGTCATAAGTTAATCAATAATTATAATCAAATCAAAATCAATCAAGGCATTTTATTTAGAGTAATTATATCTTAATAAATCAAGATAATCAACTCAGTGATATTTTAATAAGGATAATCATCAACTAATATATTTAGCACAACATTAATCACAATGTTACATAAATGATAATAATCACAACTCAAATATTCATCATAATCAAATCAAGTATCAAATTCCATTATTAATCATGTTTAAGTTCATTTGGTGTATTCAGTGGGAAGAGAACCATGGTAGACCCGGAAAACCCTGTTGCCAGTCTACCTAGTGACCCAGGAAACCCTATTGCCTACCACGTATAATCAAAATTGACCATCATCAAAATATCAAATCCTAGTGTGCACACCTCTTTCCAAAGTTGCTACTAGTACCCCGAGAAACCTTGTTGCCAAATACCACTTTGGGAAGAATGAAAAATATCATTGTCACATCATGTAATATCGAAGGCATAAAGCCCAAAGATTGTGTTCATCACTTTCAGGAGGTACCATCCCAAAAGCTATCTTTCCACTATTATTTATTACAATCACACACAATCAATAAAATTCAATTTTGTCACAATTCTTATAATTGAAAATTTTTCTCAAATAG